AACAAGTTGCTACGGACACACACACACACACACATACACACAGACAACCCCATGACAATATGCGTTTTGTATTGCTGCACAACACAAAACACATAAAGACAGCCAAGGCAGAAAAATCTCTCAATACTGGCTATGGCTAAGCGAAAATGAGAAATCCAAAACAACAGCCAGAATGCCCTTGAAAATCTTTTATGAATTTTAAACGGATAAAAATGAAAACTTACATATTTGAGTCTGTACGTGAGGATGCTCTGAAGTGCGGCTACGGCAGCCAATGAAGCAAACCACAGAATCCAGGCGACGGCCTCTTCGTACTCAACACTGTTCAACACGCCAAATAAAAATACTGCTTTGTAGACTAGAAAATTACCTACACGATCACCCAGCACTGCTGATTCCTGAAAGAAAAAAACTGCTCTTTTTGCACTGAAACGTAAAAAATGCAGCAAATGCAGCCTCAAAAATCATTTTCAGTGAAATAAATTCGTAGGAAATTGTAGGAAAAGAAGAAAAATGAATAACCTGAGCGCTCACTGGTCCAACAGTGACACGAATAGCAATTTTTACCACTAATGCAAGCAATGCGCAAATTGTATTGATAAGAATCTGAAAGGAAAATAATAGCACCGAAGTGTAAATATTTGGTAGCTAAAAAAAACCTTAGAACCATACATAAACTCTATTAGATATTTGTCCCTTTATCCTCGTTTCTGGCCCTGTTTTAGAATTCATTGGCATTCCCAGACTTTCCACTTTTGTTATTTTTCCTTTCAATTCCTTTTTTAACCCCCATAAAAACCCTTATTTCCATTTTCCCTTTTAACATTTCCCTTTACCCTAATTACCATTTCTACATTTTCAACCCCTCCAAAAAACTATCACATCCTCGATTGGGGCGGCTCTTACACCCTTTATAAACCTCCCTACCATTTTTCGTGGTCTCAGTTTTGCTCCTTCAGCTTTTTCGTCGACTTCAGTCTCCTCGACCGACATCATCCCCGGCTCTTCAAGGTTTTTGGGACTCGACTTTGTCTGGTACACTTCTGGGCCTCATCGATCACTCTCTGCTATAACGACTCTTGCTCGGCAAGCTCACAGACTCGATAGATTACTTCTTGCTGCTTATTTGCTGTTTGCACGATTCATAATCAGTAAGTCATAAACTTGATTTTGCTTCTCTACAGTGCTCCTACGCTCAGAGCACCACGCCACACAGCGACTCACACACGTAAACACTAATCCCATAAAAATTTTTACTGAAGAATAGCTGTGAAAAACACGTAAAATTAGAGTAGCCAAATATGCGGGGGATCAAAAGCACTCCCTGCCCGAATAACTAAGAAAGAAAACAGCAGGAGATGACCCAGATCTGGTTCACAGCAATTGTGGAAAAAAGACAAGAACCAGTTGCTCGAAATCCCAGAGTAAAGAAACGAGAACTGACACCTGTAAAGGCGAAGCCTTCGCTTTGCCTCCCCATCACCCCCAATCGAAATTAGAAAATGCAAAAATAAAACAAGGGCTGAGTCATCTTTCGACGACATTCCAGCCATACGTCGAGAAGCGACGTTCCCATCGGAGATCGAATTTCCCACAGGGATCCGACTCTTCGTCCCCAAACCGCCCTTTCCCCCGCCGACTTTCTCATCATAGACTGAATTTACGACGGCATAATCCATCGCTGGTTCTCACGGCATCAACTATGGAATCTTGGATCGGTGATTGTAATGAGTGATGTCTATTACAGAATCTTTAGTGTATAAGACGGACGATCCGATGGTTTGGGGTCTGCGTATATTATTCATCTCCGTTCACCGATTGAGTGCCCTACGTCAATTGATCTAATCAGGCTAATTACTGGTGAACCGTCAATCGCTTATTTTGTCCTGTGTCACTGTCTCTATAATAAATCCACTCTTTCCGCTGCTTAAGCCTCGCACCTTAATTGGTTCCTTCGATCCATCGATACATTTACAAGGGGTATGGGGTACCAGAATCTATCCTCGTTTAACTCACTGAAATGTTGAAGCAGATGAACTTACCCATCCCAAATTTGGGTAAAGAAGAAGGTAATAAAATTGCTGCAAATAAACTGAGGTCATAATGGCGGAATTCGTTGTCTCATTGATACCTCTTAAACGATTGTCTATCTGAAAACAAAAAAATTCCATTAATTTGGCCGAGCGTAAAGCCTAAAAGTGTAAAACCCTTGAGAAACCATAGTGATGCAAGCGCATGTTAGGTGCAGATAAGCCGTAATATTTTCTGCTACCCCTCCTCCCCCCTCCCCACCGCTCACCTCCTCGCTATCTTTAAAATGTGCCACTTCGAAAACCCTCCGAATGTTTTATACAAGAATTTCGAAAATGATTAATACTGTGGTATTATTACTATTAGTATTGTTATTATTACTATTACTGTTATTATTATTCTCCTGGTATTCCTAGTATTAAAGTTATTATGCGTTTTGTGCTGTGTAACAGCATTATAAAACGCATATTGTCACGGGGTTGTCTGTGTGTGTGTGTGTGT